TTCCTTCCTTCCTTCCTTCCTTCCTTCCTTCCTTCCTTCCTCCCTCCCCTTCCCTTCCCTTTCCTGCTTTTTATTAGTTTATGTTAGTTTTTATGTTCTTTGTAAAACTTTTAACAAAAAGAATTATAAAAAAAGAAATATATAAATAACTATATCCATTGTATCGGGACGTATGGTTAAACTACTTGCCAATTTGTACCTAAAAAAGCAAAACCAGACTGAAAGTTACATTTTACCTTTTCCTGGTAAATCATCCCTGCCAGGTATAAAAAGACTATATCCACACTGTTTTTCCAGAACATCAGGAAATACTTTCAGCACAAAATCAACTTGGGTGCTGATTTTTGGATATAACACATAGGCATCATAGATCTTCCCATCTGAAACTGAGAGCATAAAACAAGGAACTTCATAAAACTACTTCAGAAATTATTAACCCCCCCAAAAATGCATGAAACATTTGCAAGTAGGATTGATTCCAAAACCAATCATGTCTGGTTGTTATATTGGATGACTGAAGAATGTAAGAAATGGTCATCTATAGCAGTGTTTCTCAACTTTGGCAACTTTAAGATGTGTGGAATTCAACTCCCAGAACTCCCAAGTGCAGGCTGGGAAATACTGGGAGTTGAAGTCCAAATATCTTAAAGTTGCCAAGGGTGAGAAACACTGATCTATATAATGTTCAGAGCTTGTGTTTTCTTTAAAACATAGAAGGGAATTACAAAGAAATAGCAACTCCTGTAATATTTTAAATTATTACTTTATTACTTTATTTATACGATTTCAGAAGTTAGAACTTGCCCTGTCATCTTTCTACTATCTTCAAAAGTTAAGGCTACTGACTATCTTTAACTACAATTATTACCCATTTATTTGTCCACCTGCTTTTTTTCTATCCCTGCATATAACTATTCAAGGAATTCTCACTTGAAGTACAAATGACCAGCTTCAAATTATCCTACTTGGGACACATTACACAAAGACCTAGCTCTCTGGAGAAGGGCCAAAGGCTGGGATGGGAAAGGTGGAAGGAAAGAAAAGAAGAGGACGACCAGCAGCAAGGTGGATGGACTCAGTTACAGCAGCGATGGGTCACCATTGGAAGACGTGAATGACCAGACTGGGGACAGATTGTCATGGAGAAAATCTATCTATGTAGTCTCTAAGAGTCAATACTGACTTGAAGGCGTATTGTTATTTTTTCCTTTCAGTATAAATACAGAATTACCTTTTTTATGAAGAAAAGGGCGACATGATTTCCGATACCAAAGGACTATTTCAATCTTGAACAAGATGCAGATTAAGACAGGAATAATCAGTAGTAATATCAACACAACAAGAGCTGTAAGGTTTTTGGCTAAATCAGAAAAAAATAATAATCATATTAAGTACAGTTTTCTATTAAATGGTTAGAATAATGATTAGCACATAGAAACCACTGGGCAAAATTCAGCTTTCCTCAGGAAGGCTTTTTGCCTGGAGTTCCAGTTTAAAAGAAGCTTAGATAAAAACCATACATATGGTATGTTAGGAAAAGTTATTGTGGTATTGGCCAACCAGGAAATATATTTGTATCAAAAGGATAATTCCAGATTTAATTTTTGCAAATTTAAAGTCATTAAATTTTAGTATTGTATATGGCCTTAAGTTACATCGGTCACAAAATCAGCAGTGTTTTATGCAGAGGAAATGTCACCCCCTTCTACTCTGCTAATGCCTTTGATGGTGCAACAATTTAGAATTTAAAAAAGGAGCTTATCTATGGAAAGAACAGGCAGACTTCGGTATGACATTCAACCATATCTCTCTTTCAATGGCAGCCACTGGCATTAGTTCAGGGAAGATTCTTCAAATAAGCTGTTATTAATTCAGAAGACTTTCCTTTTTTATCCATGCACTGGCTTGGTGTATTTGTTATATTCTATACATGTGGTAAAATTGCAGCAGGGTAAAGGAAGAAAGTAAAAATATTTTAAGCCCCTGGGTACAATCCAAACAATTCAAGTACAACTTTTATGATTGAAATTCTATGCACGCCGGAAGACATTTCACAGCAAATGATGCGGCTTGCTTTCAACTAAAATGCACAGAATGTCTCTGTCCCATTCTACTTCCCACTTCTCTATTCAATATTTCAGAAGCGCTGAAGTTGTTCATTATTTGTACAGCTATATCTTTTCCATTCTTTCCAGTTCTAGATTTGCACTCTTTACAATAAGACACATTTAGAAATCAAACATAAAATGGCATACTTGGACGCTCTATTTTGATGTATGCTGCAACTTCACCAGCATGGCAAATAAAGGGCTGATCATAATCCTCATTTTTCAACTCTGTAATGTTCAGAGACACTATAAAAATCTCTGCTCCGTCCTTTGTAATACTTCTTCTGTATTAAAATAGAAATGTATTAGAAGCTCATATTTAAGTTAGGCAGTAAAGCACCTCCATGGATTTATTCAGAGCAAAGTTTCAGGTTCAAAATCTCAGCTCAGGTTAAAAGTTGGTGCCAGAAAGACCAGCTGCACCATCTACTCTCTTGGCTGATTCACATATGCAAGAATTGATCTCAGACAGTGCTATGCCACTACAGCACCCACTCAAACCATTCATGCGGTTAGTTGCAGAGAAGCTTGGGTGTGAATTTCATTATCCATACAGTAGACAGAGACTATATAAATATGTCAAAATATGCAATAGTCTATAATATATTTCAAAATAACTAATCATCTGTGTGATTTGTCAAAACAGCACCAACTTGTTCAAGTTTGTCTTTGCAACAATGAATCTAGCATTTACTAGATTACAAAAGGAAAACAAATTTTGCTTGATTAATTTATGTATTAAAATGTATAACATACTTACTGAATTCCTTCTTGAATTCTATCTTTAAATAGACTGGTAACTAGTGTATTATTGACTTTCCAGGATATAGGAAAAAGAGCATCTTTGTAACTTGATACATTGCAGTCTGTAAAGAAATTGGATCCTAAAAATTGATATAAGAAAAGAGTCATTAGTTTTTTAAATAAATAAATTTATATCTATATAATATAATGAAAGCATGTTTTTTTAAAGCCTGAAAC